ATTTACTGCCTACATTATAGTAGTATATAAAATTATAGTAGGACAAGCAGCAGCCCAGAAGCGGATACGTGATGGCGTCCTTCGACGTTACCGCCCTTTATACAAACGTGTAGAATGACTCCGCAATGCTAGCCATATTCGAATTCCTTATACAACACGAAGGAGAAATAAACATGTATGACTTCAAGATAGAGCAGTTGATGGCACTCTTAAAAGAACGCTTGAGGCGCTCAATCTTCAAATGGTCAGAAAAGTACTACGCTCAAATAAGAGGGTTGGCAATAGGACAGCGACTGGCACCAAGTCTTGCCATTGCGTTTATGTCAAAGGTGGAAACAATGGTGATTGATCTCGGGCCGCCACTCTACTGTAGATATGTAGATGACTGCTTTGTCCTTTGCTCAACACAAGAGGAAATGGACAAATGTTTCGAGTTGTTGAATGAACAGTCAGAGTATATCAAGTCCACCCGAGAGAAACCGAAAAAAGCTGGCTTCCTTTCCTGAACGTCCAAATTAACCTGTCAGAAAATGGCTACAATACGAAGTGGTACCGAAAGCCAAACAGTGAAAACATCTTGGTTTATTACCTCTCCTCTCACCCCTCTCACACGAAAAGCGCGCTTGTAAGAAACATATTTCGAACAGCAACCAACGTGTGCACGGGAAGAGAGCAGAGAGAGGAGTCCCGGAACTTGGCACGGTAAATAGCCATTTCTAATGGCTACGAAACTGTAGCTCGGGATAGGTGCAAGAAAAATCCTAGGCCCCCAAACGACAACTCTAGCAATAAAAAGCTCCCGTTTATCCTACCCTTCGTCTCAAATGATGTAAGTGCAGTTATAAAACACTGCTTAAGAAGGGCGGGTCTAGAGAATTCAGTAAACGTGGTTGAAATACCACCGAGTACCCTTAGGAGCCAGCTGGTTCGTAACCGCCTATATGACTGTCTATGTGCAACGCAAAATTGCATAATATTCCCTAATGGTAGAGACGGTGATTGCATGAGCTCGGGTGCAGTTTATCTGAGCTCCTGTAAGGCGTGCGGGAGACGAATACATTGGCGAAGCGGGCAGACCACTCTGTGTGCGCATAAAAGAACACCTAGTCGGCAAACGAAAAGCAAATATCCCGCTAGGCACGCATAGGAACCAGAGACATAACGGTGAGGGTTTTGAAATACGTGTCACGTTTCTCGCACAGGAATCGAGAACGCAAGCACGCAAAACTCTCGAGGCGTTCTAGATTAATTCCAGAAATCCGAAAATGAACCGCAGGGAAGAATGCCTCACTATCACACGTGATATTGGACAGTATATAAACCTGTCATTCTGATGGGAAGGGCACATTACGCCTCCATGTGAATTCTGTGCAGTTGATCTTCACACGACATACTCAGTGGAAGACTCATAGAAAGCAGTGAGTGTGCGGAGCTGTGTTAAATGTGATTGAAATCTTGGTTCAGCGTTTTCTCTGTTTGGTTATGGAGGTGTTTGGCCGAATGGATTGCTGTCGACTTGACCTTTCCAGTCTCTGAGGAAGGCGAAATCTGCCGAACCGTCAGCTTTTACAAAAATAAAGAAATAAAATAGCACCTCGTGTTTGCTGAACAGAAGCAGAAAGAATCGATTAATCAATGCCGAGGTTAATAGAAAGTCGGACGCGGGAGTTACTATAAAATCTGTGTTCGACAAGCAATCGACCGACTTCAAAGGGGTGTGATGGTGTTATGTGATCAAAAATAAATATATTTACGTGGAAAAATAGAAAGAGAAGCAGTTTTCTTCAGCAAAAGTTATTAGAATACAAAAAGTTCAACCTTTTCGCTACCTCGGCCGTCTTTACGTGGCTGGCCCATCGGCCGGCATGTCATTGGAGCGCACTTTAGATGCTCATTGAAATCAAGCCCTGCTATCCGAAATGTGCAGAAGCATACATATTGGAATCAACGCACATGGTCATGGAAGGGTTAAATTTACGGAGTGAATCAGACTCTTACTAAGCTCGTAGATTAATATAGTTAACAAAGGAACACTAATTCATGGATGGTTTCTGTAACCTGGAGAATTGAGCCAGATGTTGACATTTTGTTGGAATTATGTGGCCGTGGAAGTTCGCTGTACCACACCAAGAGACGAGGAAACTATGATATGATCTAAATGGCAAAAAAAAATGTCAACCTCATCAGTTGGCGGTTCTCCATGATCCTCGTCAAATTCGTTTGGTGAACGACTATATTTTCCACCTGCTCTACTAGTATTGGTATCCCATCGTTCTTTCATCTAAAAGAAGAAACTGCGTGGAAGAAGGACCGAAATGAAAACACGAAAATGAATAGCTAAGTATCAAAACGATAGATGAACGCGATGTGAGTAGGCTTTGGTTTAGTTAGATGAGAATCTAATGGCGACGACGAACCATCTTAAGTAATATAGTTTGAAAGCATATTAGAAATTTTGCAACATAAGACATTAATCAGTAGTACAATACAATGAAGATTTTAAGAACACCGACGAGTGCGAAAGGTCAAAAGACTCTGAATATCGTCATTTTCCTTGGAGAGATTTTTCGCCAGTTAACCTGGACGTGATCATAGGACGGTCAGTGCACTATTGCTATAAGAATCTGTCGTATTTGGTAATAACAAACGGATATTTTACGTAAAGAAAGAAGTGTGAGATAAAGGCAACGCAAAGGCCTTAATTAGTGAGGCGGATAGCACGTGAGCATTCGTCAAGAGTAATCGTGGGTTCGAAGCCTACCTAAGGTTCCGAGTTTTACTCAAGTCTCAGCATTTTCGTGATTGTATTTTATGTAAGGTTTCTATAAATTGACAAAGCAATAGCAACATTTATCTCTAGCACTCCTCAATCCGGAAACTGGTATGCTTTCACAGTATGAACCTCAAAATTTATGTAACATATTGTGTGCATCGTAGCACTTCTTGCTTCGATTCACTGCCTCGCATGCACCATCCACGAAGCTCTTCGAACTTTCTCCATACCTCCTCTTCGTCATGAATGTCGTTGAGTGATAGTGAAATGAATTCTCCCTGGAGTCCTGAGACAAGCGGGTTGGGCGCTCCTATGTAGACTACAGGAAGCGAACTGGTCTCTGAAGGGTTTGGTACTAGCTTCTTAACCCTGCACGGATGGAAGTCTTGGTGGACTCAAGCTGGGATCGAACCGAGGGCTAGTCAGTTCAGTTTTCCGTGTAGTGAACGACATTAATACCACTGGACTACTTATTTCGCTCTTTTAAATGCAAATAATAATTGATAAGGCATTAGTGACAAAACGCTCGCCGCTGACTAATCAATCCCTCGAGAGTGGGCGATGCATTGGTCTCCATGCATGCCATTATGAAGCTTAATTAAACGAATGCATAACTGGTGTATACAATGACTTTTAAAGCTCTGTCGATGCATCCAGTCAACATTTTCATCCTCAGAAAAGTCTGGCACCTATTTGCTGACCTCGAAGAAAGGTACGGGGTGAAACCCACCACTATCTATCGTTCACTGCAGAGAACGCTTTATCACTGCGCTACACTTTCTCTTAAATGTTCGCTCTCAAACATATAAAAAACAACAACAGTAACTTAACAAAACTATCAACAGCTATATAAACAATAGGTTATCTGGTTTCACTTTGAGGATTGAAGATTGAAGCGAGAGTGAATGAGTTGTAGGAAAGGCATACTGTTCTTGAAGAAAATAACAATTGTCGTCAGAAGTTGCTGGTGGAGTTACGTCTGGCGAAAAAACGCTGTCATTTCTGAAGACTTCCGATGATTCTCTTTTCCGGTCGCACAAAAGAATTTCATTTGATAAGACAGTTTTCAATGTGTACTACAGTAACTGTGGGAAAGTTGATGAGATAAAACGACGGCACGTATATGTTGCTTTAAACATGTTAATGTAGAACGAATTCACGTAGAGATAGAGAAATGGTGAGGACAGGGTAAAGGATAAAATCCGAAGGACGAAGGACGAGGGGAAACACCTTTAAGTGTCTAAGGAATTTGCGATAGTCCCATATCGGCCTACACACCCATATCGGCCTACACAGTCACAGTGAAGTCCTATCGATACATCAAGTGAGTGCCTTTTTCATATTGCCAAACAAGACTCATACCAATTTACCGACCCACAAAAGATGTGGGAATTGTTAAGCGCAGGCCGTAAGATCGAACTGGGGACCACGTGTGTATTGTGCAGCACCACTAACCTCTGCGTTTCGCACTCTAATCTATATTATCAAATACAGTTTTCCGTTTCGGCTTTCGGTCAATGGGAAGTGCTAGGAAAAATTAAGGTTTTTTTTCACTTTCTCACCGATATTTGTGTAGTTAGACGGACTACACAAATTCCTCCAAGCATTCGAGTCTACTCTCATTACCTTAACATAGATCGTTGATTACAGCTTGCTAAACTATTCATGTCGATTCTGCACATCGCTGTGAATGCAACAACCCATCTATGTAGAAACTGGTGGTGTTAGTAAAAGAATTCCGGTTCTCACATCTGTACATCAGTAAATGAGTGTAAATCGGCTTTGTACAGTATCATATTAGTCAGGATTTCATGAGCAAAACTAGTTTGAGCTCCGTTTTGCCAGTCCTCCTTGAATCTCACGTGACACTAAGAAATCCTTCAATTTTTCGCCGATTTTGTCACGTTTGAGTTGGAAATCAGATGCTAGACCACGTGGATGAAAGAAAAAGAATTGGTAAATCGTTGTTCACTTTTTCCTTACAGCGATCCATGTGCTATGTAAATCGAATGGCAGTAATACAAGACAATATAAGGTTACAAAACTATAATGTAGAGGCATAAGGAAGGCATGAAATGGTAATTAGCTATCAAACAATGGCAAAGACTCCAATCGGCTAAGATCTATCCCAGGAGTAGCAACGTCTGATAATACCAACTGGGCTTACCATATTATAAAAGGTTGACGATCCGATCGTATGACGACAAAAGAAAAACGTCACTTTTAATCAACTGACGTAATGTTTACTGTCTGAAGGAATTGACAAATGAGTGAGGACATTACGAGCACCTAGATCGCCATTGTCGACACTGCCACCTCCGCCATCGCCGCCGTCACCGCCGGCGTCAAATGTCAACACTTCTCGCTGTACCCGCATTTATTTTTTTTTTTCCTTTGTCTAGGAATGTCTGACGTTCAGTAGGCGAAACGAACAATTCACGAGAATATTATCAATGTTGATCGAAGATATTTGAACGAGGAGCCTACGTTCTTGTTGACGAATCTGACTGACTTAACCTTCGTTAAGCGAATTTCATTTAACGTAAGCAAGAATGAACATCTTGCTGTAGCATTGACAAGCTTGCCCAAGGCTCCTACTAAGCCTCAGTGCCGCTAAGGATTCAGCGTCACCGCTTTTCCAGATTAGAGTTAAGTGTCCACACCGGTTCATTTTCGCGACGCCCGTGTTCGCAGTCATCGCATCGCGACAAACCAACTTGAGTGGGACATCGCAAGAAGTGGTATCCACTCACGTACGATCAGAATCTTTGCGACTCCAAAAGAGTGGCGAACGTGCCAAAACGTTAGCCGTTGTAAAACTTTTATAAAAACCATGTGACGGTTTATGAGTGTTAAAAAAGACACTAATCAATTATAATAGATTTCTAGTGATTATACCTAGTGCTCATTCCTGGTTGAGGTATGTTTTATTTATTGTCTAGGTGATATTTAATGCAGAGCGTACCCTCAAAGTTAAGTGATAAGATACTTTTGAAGTCACAGGATATACAGTTATCAATCGTAGCATCAGTGATGATAAGTGTACGACGACAAGCTCGTCTACTCTTTAGCAGTTTGTGATTCGAAAAGTGAACACATTGGATCTACAGTTTGGTGACCTTATTCTGTACATAGTTAACAGCTCATGGTGTGACTGCCTTGTGAAAATACGACGTTTTCAATGGAAAAATTTGTCTAACAAACCCCTTCCGTTGTTGACTCGTAGTGATCGTGTGCATCAGGATCATTCCGCTCCAATTGTGGAACAACAACTATCTTTTGTTGCTTCAATCTCTTATTCTGTACCATTTTTTCTTTAGGGAAATCTTCTCGAGTGTCTCTTTCACTTCTAAAACCACGCTTCGCTCCACGTAACTCAGCAGAATGCTCATTTCTGTGTTTATCATCGCTTTTTCGTTCCTCTGGTTCTCCGGAAAAACTTGCTAAGCTTTCGGTATCGAAATCTCGTTTCCTTATCTGCAAATTAAAAAAGAACCACTTGTAATAATGGCCTACAAGTTTTATTTACTTTCTGTAATCATTTTACTTTTACTGAACAGTTATTGTTGACGACTTTGGTGATGATAAAATTGCCCATATATCAAGGAGGGGATCACGTGACTATAAAACAATCACGCAGGCAACTTGATGACTCGACTGGAAGTAGTCAAACAAACGAACCAATGGTGCCACAGTAGAATTCGGTTGTGTTTCCATCACTGTCTGTTTCAACACGTAACGACCCAAGTTGATTTTTTACTACGATATATTGGCGAATACCATCTGGTCCTACTAGTCGATATGCCACTTGTTCAGTTACTTTCATACTCGAAATACGAGAGCCACGCAAAACGAGCGAAAAAATATGTTTCATGGGCTTCATAGAATCAGCATTCCACCATAATAAAAAGGATTAAAAAAAACAGGACAAAGCTCTTGGCGTTGATCAATCCCTGAGGAATGTGTCAAGTATTCGACTTCACTAAGCATCGTTGGAGCTGATTGAATGCAAATGTGGCCTTAACATTGACTCGCGACGACCTACCGATGTATCGAGCCAGTGTTGCTATCCTCCCAGGCAAGTCTGCCATCAGTTTGGCGACTCCGGAAGCATAGATGGCTTGGTGGACTTGGGGCGCAAGGATCGGTTATATGTGTATTGCAGGGCGCTTCTGACCACTGCCGCCACACGCACCCTTCTACGACACCGTACTAAGATGGTAAGGTTGGGTCCTGTAGAGAAAGATCTGCAAATATTAAGGATCTTTGTTCAAGCTTGTAAAATTCCATATGAACTGTGAAATATGTTGGTTCTTTAAACGCATGGTACTCAATACATTTACACCGTCATATGTTAGGGATTGATTTCAGATTATTGGGTTTTCTTAGTGACTGTAGAATTCAGCTTAGTAAAAGAAAACCGTTACTGTACCGAAATAGCCCCTACCTCACCACTGCCTTCTTCCACAATCTGCATATTAGCAATGAATGAAACGACCTTCACAGCGGAAACTGAGAAAAACAAGTATGTTCTGCTTGATTATCTCTTGCTAGTAGAAGTAAATATGGTGGAATCATCTTAATCACAGATGCGTAGGTCTGAGCTGTAACTCACGCTTATTGACATATTTCTTAGAAATGGAAGAGAAATCTGGTGTAGCATAATTTGTTCCAGAACCATTTCAAAAAAGTGATCGAAATATGGAATGCAATGCCACCATATCTGTGATTCATTGCGGATAGGGAGACTCGTTTATTATTACATTTAGTTAGATTATACTATGTGATATAGCGCGAAAGCGTAGTGGTTAGAGTTGTTGTGTGGTGATAATGTTATCCCTGATTTGACCCCGTACCAAGTCAGCAAAGCTTCCACCTCTTCCGGATTCAATGAATTGATAAGCAATTTGAAAAGGAAAAACTCCCGCCGAGTCATAAAATCTGCTGAAAGTATGAGAACGATCTTGCAGAGCTATCTCAGGTTTCCAAAGAGAATCTAGTGGTGCAACATTTAACAAGACCCATGAAGAACATGAAATCTGAAATAAGAGGTCAAAAGCACAAAAATCCTCTCGAATAATGAGTTTTGGACAGCAAACAGAATGAAAGAAGTGTTATGATACACACAACTCTTAGAAAACTGTCATACGAAGTAGAAAATTAGAAATGTCATACTCATTTTCCATGGCTTCCAGAAAAATCACATTTTCACAAACCCATCTACGACGCTGTTTCTTTTCCGACATCGCCACTAACACAAACAATACATCACGTTGAAGTCAACAGATAAACGGACTGCAACTGCTTTACTCAGATGCCCCGGTGTGAAGCAGTCGAACTTGAGCAGCTTAAACCTGTGACACGTGAACTGATAAGAAACCCGATCAGCAGCCAGTTCGCAGTCAAACATTTTTGAAAAGCAGTGAATTTGGATATTTGAAGGCAATACGTCCTTCTCATGTGATCTCCCACACAGATATCGGAGAGTGCTCCTTAATGGACTGAGGTGATTAATATTGTCCCATAATGTCGTAGACTTACAAAGGGTCAGTGGAAATGATCTTAGGAATGTGAGAAATCTGCAAGAGTGCTTATCATCGACTGGCTTTTTGGTTCCACAAACAACGGAACTAGTTGAGAGAACGTTGAAAGGCAATTTTGGAGATAACCAACCAAAGTAGTTGAAAGAGCATTCTAAAGGTGATCAACACCATACCTGTCTAAATGGCTTTCGTAGCCCTGAAGGTAGTCGTATGCTAACAATACGGCCACATTGTATTCCATTAACAATGAAAAGAGTTGAGAACCTTTGTTAATACGTGACATCAAGAGAAACCTAGTTTGTTTCAAAATTGTCGGAATAAAAAAGTATGTTTCGACGTCGAGAAAGGAAATGTAGATATTGCAACACTACCGAAACTAATAAAAAAAGGTATTGGAAATTTCGAGAGAAAGAGAAAATGGGAAATGTCAGCCAGCATAAGTAATCAGTGTTATAGTGAGCCACTGAAACGGAGTTTTTCAATTCAAACATCGCACGTCAAATCTGAAGTTTAAACAAAAGCCAGGAAATGTGGTCGGAGAAAAACCCTAATAAAAGATCAATGAATTAAGCACTTTATTGTTGAGCGATCAATAAACACTAGGTGTAGAGCCACGGTTTCAGGTAAATTAGAGGGTTGTTAAAAAATGCGAAAATGAAGACAAAAATATGTGTGCACATATA